GCTGTGGGCTACCCAGAGACTGGAAGTGTTAGGAGAAAATATTCATATAAGGCGTGTTTGTGTGTGTGTGTGTGTATGGTATATTATGTTGGAAACTTTCAGATTTATAAATATCTTCCTCAGGCTTAAAGAAAAGGAGGGAAGCTATATTGTACTCAGTATCAAAATGTAAAGGCCTGGAAAAAAAGAACAAAGAAACAACCTTGAAGATCCCAAAAGCCCACATGTGCAGAATGCTACCTAACCTAGCCTACCAATTAAATTATTTTTATTTTAAAAATTTATCCTTTCTGAATTCAATAATTTCCTTCCTTTCCCATTCATTCCCTTACCAAAACATTTATCTAATTTTTTAAAAGGAAATCCTCTCTTATTATAGTTAATGGGTTTTTAAAAATCCATTAAAAATATTTAATTTATAGTCCACATATGTGCCTTGTGTCATGTAATTATTCTATTTCCTCCAGGGCTGACCTCCTCAGTCTCTCTGCAAATATCTCTCCCAACATCATTCCTTTAATTAATTTAAATTTAATTTGAGCAGGATATTAATGCACCATCATTCACTTTGGAGTTTTGTAAATAAATTGTTTCACTTTTAAACAAACCCTAACTTTCAAACACTTGTTCACTTATCTCTGCGGGTATGAAATGAAATTCTTTGTGAGAGCTAATCATGGGAAAGAAAATGCATCCAGCAGGAATTAAGATTATAGAAACTGTTTCTGCTAAACATTAGCACAAAACTAATGCTAATGTTAAAGTGTATGCTAACAAGTGGTTACCTTTTTTCATTAATTTTGGGATTCTGATATTTTCAGATATAGCTGCTTCCCACTGAACAGGACTTTGCATTCTCATACTTCTATTGCTTGTCGATTTGCATTCTTTTGTAGCTTTATGCTTTTTAAAAAATCAGTGTTAATTTATTTTGCTTCTTCCTTCCAATATCAGCTAATCAAAGTCTGCCTTGAGTTTTCTCAATTTCTTTTGTTTATTTATGTTTAAAATAGACTGCACAGGACTTTTTTTCTTAAAATAAGCCATAATGAATACTATAACTATACCACACTGTATGGTATCTGAAAGGTTTATCCATGTTGTGTAACAAAAGCACACTATGCATGACTGCAGATGAAACTCTGACATGTATCCATCACCAGATCACTGAACAATTTATAATTATTCAGACTGGCAATTTTAGCTCCAGTTTCTTTCTCCCTGAATCACATTTACCTTTTCATGAAATCAGTCAATCTGTTGCACTGAATCTTTGAAGTGCCACAAGACTTATTTTGCTGCAAAAGACTAGCATGCTGCCGTCTAAAACATGAAATAACAGAAATTGCCAGATTTGCAGGTGGAGAATAAGGAGAGAAACAACATATATGTGACTGATGCAATGCAACATGTTAAGCTATGGCTTGCTTATTTATTAAACATAATTGGGTGAGATCACAGAATATCCTAATTTACAAACTACATGGCTGGGACCATGCAACATGCTAAGCCAAGACCAAACATATAATGGCTTAATGTGACATTTGAGCCCAGCCACAGCCTAACATCTGCCCTACCTAGCCTCCAACCACTGTTTATGTGTGCAGGTGGAATATCTGCTGTATCTTTCCTTTTCACTTCTTCCAGATAACTTGCCAATCAGAATTTCACAGAATGCAAATTATGGCATTAAAAGTGCTATTTTCTCATTTTACTCTACCGATTGCAGCTATTGCTTGCTGTCGAATGGGAGAAATAACTAGTACTTTCCTTATCCATGCAATTAAAACATGGTTCCCACATTTATCACTGTCACTAAGAGTTTTTTTTCCACCTGAGAAGTAGCTAAGAGCCACCAGCACACATAAGGCTAGGACTGAGTTTCTAGAGTAACTTTTAAACAATCGTCTATGGTCCATAGCAACTTTCAAGCAGCTGTTTTTGATTAAAGAAAAAAACATTTAAAATGGAGGCCCTGAACATGCATGAAAAGCTATTCAAACTGCAGGCCTGAATGTAAAGTCTGGAAGATGGGATTTGCTATATAGAGAATTCTTGCCATACCTGAGCTGTTAACTCATTTTTCCTTTTATACCACATAACAAGCTTTTAGCAACATTGATGAAATGAATAAGCCTATAGGAAATTTTGCAGATAGTCTATCAAGTGCAAGCTTAAAAAGTAGCTCTTTGGTGATTATTTTCAGCCTGAATAACATGCTGCACACAGACAACTTTTGTTTGCTATTAAAACTGGTCTTATAACTCCTTTTTTTTTGTCACCAACATTTAGAGTTTTGTATGTTTCTCATATAGCTTTATAAACAAACTGTACCATCTCAGATTCTTGAGTGGGCAGGCTCACTGTGTGAAACCTGAGCAAAACATCCCTATCACATTTGGAACAACAAGAAGCAGATGGCAGGAGTGATGGTAAAGTTTTCTTTTATAGAAATAGTGGTATTTCCTGGGCAATTACCAGTAGAAATAAGGTGTTCTAAGCTCTAGTTTCCTCTGATGCAGGGAATAACGACCCATGCAAGAGTAGCTTTTTATCCTGTAGTCCCTAATCCTTGATGCGAGCACCAACATATGAAAACCCCTCTCCAAATCTCATTCAGATTCTGGCTGATAACCATTCAGCAGGCAGGACTGACATAAGCCATTGCCAATATGGTTGACAACACTGGGGCCCAAGCCTCAGGGGTGCCTGGGTGCAGTCCTTGAAGTGAAACCAACTATTCAATTTTAGGTGGAACTGAAAAATATCCAACCTTGGAAAATAGATGAGTCCAGGTTTTTAAAAATATAAAATTTACTTTTCATGGTTTAAGAATGAAGTTAATCCATCAGAAATATATAATTATGCAAAATATTCTCTCTCTCTCTCTGTACACACACACAAACACCCCCCCAATAAAATAATGTGTATATATATTTAAGTATAAAATATTATATTTCATGTCAGTTGGACCTCTCAAAGAATGTAAAAAATGTTGGGCATCAAATTTTTTGTGCTGGCATTATAAAAAAATTGAGGGCTCCTTAACTCATGTGCTTTGGTCTTGTCAAGCCATAGCTTCAAATCAAACCATACATTAATACAATTTTGGAAATAACTATAATAAAGACATAAATGTTTTTCTAAAATATGGAATCTGTTATTTGATGAAGAGCTGTGGCTCTACTGAGCCTGAGGTTCAGCAAGGAGAATAATCATACATAAATGGAAAGACACATCCTTGTGATATGAAGAAATGAATTCAAGAAATTAGTCTGTTCGATAATTTGGAATAATCTTTATATTCTAAAAATGAGAAGATGAAGCAATGTTTCTATATGGTCTAGATTTAATGACAAGTTTAATTCCATATTGATACAAATGAACATTACAGGTAGTCCTCAACTTATGACCACAATTGGGACTGGAACTTCCATGGCTAAGCGATGCGGTCATTAAGTGAGTCATACCTGATTTTTTGACCTTTTTTGCTGCGGCTGTTAAGCGAATCACTGCAGTCATTAAGTGTATCCAGCTTCCCTCATTGACTTTTATTATTTATCATATTTATATAGCCACCCATCTCACATAAAGTGACTTTACTTGTTGGAAGCCTCCTGGGAAGGTCGCAAATAGTGATCATATGACCCCAGGATGCTGCAACCGTCATAAATAGATGCTGGTTGCCAAGAGCCCAAATTCTAATCATGTGACCGCGGGGACACTGTGATGGTCATAAGTCACTTTTTTTCAGCGCTGCCATAACCTTGAATGGTTGTTAAATAAACGGTCGTAAGTCAAGGACTATCTGTATGTGGATTTTAATTAGGGTTTTTAAAAATCTTTCTGTTATGCTTAGTTCATTTCAATC